CCCCAAAACCCCAAAACCCCAAAACCCCATGACCATAAGATAAGGCAAAATTAGCTTATCTCTAAATATATTAAATTAATATAAAAATGATTGCAGATATCGAAAACAAAGACAATGAAGATGATAATGAGGATTATGATAGTATATTTTTCGATGACGATTCTATACCACTAGTAAAGATAACTTCTGCTCCTCCACTAATTGAGGAGGAAATGCTTTATCATCGACAAAATACATATAACCATGCTTATCTAAAGAAATATTAGTTAGGAGATTTATATAGAGAGCACCTCTAAGTACAAGATTTCAACATCAACCCTCCACTTTAAAGGTCAAGAACTGGTAATTTTATCTCTTATTTATTCCTATTTATATTAGGTAATCAGGATAAGAAGGTTTAATATAACTCCCCTATACAGCTTGAAGAAAATAAAGATTCTGGTGATTAATGTAAATCAAGTTAAAGTAAGGATGAATATCCTCAGATTCCTCTCAATAAAAATAACCTGTTTGCTTTCTCTGTAATACATTTAAAAATGTTTATATGCGTTTTTATTTATTTTCAATTTTAGCATGATTCTCAATATGCCTAGTTATTCTGTGACAACCAAGATTCATTTAAGTTATCCACTACTAATATAAAATCTTCACAAGATAACTGATCCAGTAATTAACTAAGTGCAGAATGCGAACCAAATAATAAATCAAATTTTTTGAGTATCCCTGAAATAAAATAGGATACTATTGACTCAGTCAACAGACAAAACTCACATAACTCAAAAGTTTCGTCTGCATCAATCATGAAGTCTAATGATGATAGTGATGATTCATTTACATCTATAAATACAGATATCCAAAACACAATAAATAATGAACAATAAATTTTCTTACAAAAGGGAAAGTTTGCAAGTTCTTTTGGGAGATAAGGTACTTATGGCTATAAAAAAGAATAGAGAGATAACTTGCTAAACAATGCAATTCAAAACTGCGAAAATATCCCATAACAGACTATATAAATACCCTTTGGGAATACACCGTTTGGAAGATCACTCACAAGTCAGACACAGTACAAGGGCAATCTAGAGTAAGTTGACAATCAAGATAGATTTAATGATGAGGAAAGTCTCTACACGGAAGAAGATTAAATTGAAAGTTTATCACATGAAGATACAAGATATTAATTGAACAATGATAACTAATATTTAAGAAGCTAAACATTCAAAGAAAGTTGCAAGTATAAAATTAACATTCTTGCCTCACAAGATGATGATTAACCTGCAGATCCTAATTTTCTATCTCCCCTCAAATTTTAGATTAGAGAGAGAAGTTCAAATGGAGATATAAGCAGTGGATAATAGGAGGCTAGCAATAATACTCTTTCTTCATAAAATCAAAACTATTGCAATTCATCACCTAAATCTTGGGGAGGAATACCTAATTCACCATTGAATACTTCTAATCCAATGAGGTAATTTTAATTCCATTCTCCTTAGCCTCACCCTCAGATAAGCCATCAATACTTTTAACCATAAATGAATTCATCCTCACAATTTTTATAAACTCCTATTATCTACCATTAGCATTTGATATAACAAGCTAATTATCCGAATTATCTAAGCAATCCTTAATAATCATAGCCATATTATTAGTAAAATAGCAAAAATTGCCAGCAATATCAAATTCCCAATTTTAATTAGCATCAAAATTAATTTACAGGGTATGAGAGACAAAGATCTTTTTAGAGCAGTGGGACAAGCAGTTCTCATTGTTCTCAAAAATCAAAAAGTTCAATAAATAAAAAGATTGCAATCTTAAACTAAGTCTATAAAAATATCAAAACAGATGATGAAAAACTTAATTTTATCTTGACTAATGCTATAGTATTATCTAAAGACCAAAATGGATGTAGGAAAATTCAGAAAAAAATAGATGAATAAAGAGGATTAAACAACTAAGCTTTTATAGATTAAATGATAAAAAATTTAGCAGATTCTTTTAGTGATTTAATGATGGATTCTTTTGCAAATTATCTATGCTAAAAACTAATCAAGCTTGCAACTGAATAGTAAATTGACTTTATTCTATCTAAGGTAAAATACATAACATTATATTAAATAGATTGAAGACAATTTAGTAAGAATAGCTCTTGATAAGCATGGGACAAGAGCTCTACAAAATATGTTAAATCAAATCTGTCCATTTACTAACGAGAGATCTGCTAGATTAATTAACGGGATTAGAGACTATGCTCTAGAGCTAATAGTTAATATTCATGGAAACCATGTTATTTAGATTTGCTTAGATAATATCAAATCTGAAGAATTAAAACTTCCAATTTATGAATGCGTATTGAATAACTGCTCTTATATTGCAACTAATTAACATGGATGCTGTGTTGTTTAGAAATTACTAAGTTCATCTAAATTTGCCATTCAAGTAATTATTAATGATAAATTTACTCAGTTTTAGAAAGAATTAGTTTTGAGATCTCTTGAACAGCTATAGTATTTAATTAATGATCAATATGGAAATTATGTAGTCTAGCAAGTTCTTAAATTCAACGATGAGGAGATAAACTTAAAAATAGCGAATTTCATTTGCTCTAAAATTTAATACTACTGTAGTTAAAAAATTTCTTCAAATGTAGTAGAAAATGCTATAAGAATAACTACTAATGAATGTAAGAAAGTTTATTTTACAAATTTGATTAAAAATCTGCCTCTGTTTCGGATGCTAATGCTAGACTAGTATGGAAATTATGTGATCCATGCAATTTTATAAACTTCATCAGATTTTTAAGATCAAACATATTATAATTAATTCTATCGAGTGTTTATTGAGAACTAGGAGCTATTGAGAAAAGTTAACTTTGGAAATAAATTTATTTAGAAGATAATGGTGTTAGACCCTCCTTAACAAGATTAGTAGAATTTCCAATTCCAAAGGTAGCAGCTTCAAATAACTGGAAAGTTTTAGTGTAATAATAACCCTAAAAATCAAAGCAATACTTAGAGAACATCTACCTTTAAATCAGCACCTGTTGGAAAGAACTTATAAATTCCCAAAGAGTTAGGGCAATAAAATCAAAAGTGATCTTTATTTTCTTAAAATAATAATCTGATCTAGAAACTTTGAATTTAAAAATCAATTTCATAATTACTAATAATGAATTAAAAGTAAGTTTAAAATCTTTAAATAAAATATCATTAATTCTTGCTTTATCGGGGTTTTGGGGTTTTGGGG